GTTTGGGGCGCCTGGCTGGCTCAGGCAGTTAAACGTCTGTCTTCGGCTCAGGTCATGATCCCAGGGTCCCGGAATCTAGCCCTGGGTTGGGCTCCCTGCTCAGCAGGGAGCCTGCTTCTTCCTCTCCCCACTGTTCCTGCTCTCTCTCACTACCTCTCTCTCTCGTTCTCTCTGTCAAATAAATAAATAATCTTTAAAATAAATAAATAAATAAAGGAAGAGTTTGGCTTACATTGTTTACAAACAAGAGAACTCATGTACAGAGAGGTGGAGTGACTGGCATAGGGTAACAGTTTACATCGGAGCAGATGCAAGAATCTGGGTCTACATACACCATTGCTCTCTCCATGCTACATCTTACTGCCTCCTTCTCTCTAAATAATAATAATGCACTGACACATGGATTTTCTCTAGGACAACCCTTGTCTCCAATATTATGTCCTGCTGTCTCCCTAAATCTTGGATATTCCCTTTTGCATCATGAAAAGTATTTTTTTAACACACTGAAGCAGAACAAAAATTATTTGCCAGAGTATGTCTTAATGTTTTGTCCTGAAAATATGGTAATTAGTCCAACTATGTTCCATACAGTTGCAAAGAATGGAAGGATGGACAGAATAAGAAAGGCCTACGAGCAGTCATTCATGTTCATTCACTATCTCATTTAATCTTCACAACACCTTATGGGTGGGAAGGTTCTAATATTATAATCATTTTCCCAAAGCCAGGAAACTGAGGCTTACTTTTCCCAGGTAACATGTCTTCGCCACTCATATTATCACATCACTCTCAAACACCTTTAGAGGATCTTCATTTCTTTTCTCATCAAAATGATGTCCTGTCTGACTTCCAAGTTTGCCACAATTCATCTTATTCATATTAGCTTTGCCTCTCCAACTTTATTTCACGGAAATCTGGATCATTTTCTATTCTGCGCTTAATCCATGGTCAAGCCAACCTAGCACTGGATGCCAACAGCAATATTGCTAAGAGCTGTCCCCCCTGACCTTGTCCTTTTTTGTTGAGCAGGAGTTTTTGGCTTTGTTAGCAGCAAATTTATCAAAATTGCTTATATATCATGCTAATACCACCTCTTGGAAATTATATGAGTTCCACATATTCATCATTTCACAAGTGAACAGGTATCCCTTTTCATTTATCTTAACTCCTATTTTAAATCCTCCATGTACATATCATGGTCCACAAGCCCAGGGACACCATTTACCGACTGCCCTATTGACTGTGTTCCCAAAAGTTGTGCAACACGTCCCCTAATATGGGGATCTGGCGTACAAACCTGGGGCCACCTTAACACTGTCTTTAATTAGTTTATTAGGCTTCGTTTTTTCAGGGTGAAACGTCAGAATATCCTCACATCATTTTCCTCCTTTTACTTGTCCTTTGAACTTCTGACTTCATTATAGCATTCCTATGATTCAGAAACTCCAATATGAGGGGGCTCGGAGGGAATGCACTATAGTTTTCAATATGAAGAGAGGGCTATTGGGGCTCCTGCATGGCTCAGTCAGTTAAGCATCTGTCTTTGGCTCAGGTCATGATCCTGGGGTTCTGGGATCAAGCCCCCAGTTGGGCTCCCTGCTCAGTGGAGAGCCTGCTTCTCCCTCTGCCTCTGCTGCTCTGTCTGCTTGTGCTCTCTTTCTCTCAGTCTATCTCACATAAATAAAATCTTAGAAAAAAGGAGGCGGCTAGGGTTTTTTTTTCTTGTTTCCTTAACCATTCCTGATTATGTTCAACACTGTACTTGTCTCTTCCAACACAAACTGTCCTGCACAGCTAGGTGAGCTGTAACATCCACAGAGCAGAGCAAATGCTAGTGAAGAAGCACTCCTGGCTATTAGACAGGAGACCAGGATTCTGGTCCTGGGCCTGTCTTTGACTAATTATGTGATCCTGAGCAAGTAATTAATCCAATCAAACCTTATGTATCAGGACTAGTGCTGAATACTGGAGTACAGAAATAAATGAGTCATACACCCTGCCGTCAGAGAGCTCTTAGGCTAGAAGAGACTGATAGAAAACTAAGTGATTAAAATAGGACAAGTGTTGGAGTGCCTGGGTGGCTCAGTGGGTTAAGCCTCTGCCTTCGGCTCAGGTCATGATCTCAGGGTCCTGGGATGGAGCCCCATATCAGGTTCTCTGCTCAGCAGGGAGCCTGCATCCCCCTGCCTCTCTGCCTACTTGTGATCTCTGTCAAATAAACAAATAAAATCTTAAAAAATAATAATAAAATAAAGTAGGACAAGTGTTAAAAATGCTGTCCTAGATATAGGAAAACAGAATCTCCCAGATAAGACATCTAACACTGGCCGGTCAGAGAATGTCATCAGAAAATACTTCCATAAGAATGATGATATTGAACAGAGACTTGTGGAAACCTGGTTTGCTCATTGCTGTATTCTTAGTCCCCAGAAAAGTGCTATGTATATAATAGGTACTCAATAAGCATCTGTTTACTGGTGAAAGCATGGAGAGAATTTATTTGTGGCCAGACTCCTTAGACAAAGGTGTGGAGGCATCAGAGAGTGTGGTGAATTCAGGGGACTGGGAATGATTATGGAGGATTAGGGTGGGCAGAAGTGGAGTAATTGTACCTTGGCCTGGAACTAGAGCCCAAGACAAGAATATAGAAGGCCTGGTATGCTGTGCTAAGGCTTGAGAACTTTATCTTGAAGGCAGTAGAGAGCCACTGGAAGATTTAAGCACTAGAGTCACACAATCAGATTTGAGTGTTAGCTTGATAAGCCAGTTACCAATTTACTGCTGCTCAGTTCCAAAGGTACCCTGCATGCAGCTAGCAATGCCCAATGGCCACGAGCTTCCCTTGGCCCCTCTCTGCCCAAACTCAGTGGCAAAGAGCAACAATCACCCATGTTCATGTTCTTTTCATAAATGGCTTCTTTGGGATTCTAGACTGCGGATTTTTGCCTGCCTGGCACCTCATGAACCCTGACCACACCCTTGTTGACAGGCTCGTGGGAGGTCAGCTCCTTCTTGGGTGATCTGTCTCAGGGGTAGTGGTTGCTCCTTATGTTAGTGATACCTGTAAACTTTAGATCTCTCTTTACAGCTTGCTAGCCAATCTTCCATTACTCCAATCCCATTGTAGTTAAAAATTCCTTATGTTGAAATTTCTTGGTTAAACTTGTATATTATTTCTCTCTCTTGGACTCTGGAACACACACTGATTCATCAACAGCCGCATAGATGGGCTGAGGGGAGTGGAGTGAAACTTTAGGCAGGGTGCCTGGTTAGAAGAATATGGCAGCACTTTTGGCAACAACTCTTGAGAACCTCATTGCCTTTTAGGAGGTGCAATGGGGAGGGATAAGAGAGGCAGGAGTAATAGGACTTGGTAACCACTGTGGGAAGAGGACAAGGAGTGTAGGGTGACTCCCCACTCTTCAGGCTTGGATGACTAGGTAGATGGTGATACTGTGGTACAAATGGAAAACACAGGAGAAGGAGCAGGTCAGATTCTCCTGCCATGTTCCTTTTTACTCTCAGGAGTTCCATGTACTTTTGAACCACAGAGACTTAGTTAGAATCATAGATTCCTTAGGTTGAAGAGGCACCAAAGCCCAACTTTTCTGCCTTTGAGCAATATAGACTGTTCACATCAGATAAAAGAAGTGAGGAAAGGCCCATTCTATCTTAATAGTCCATGATTCTAATGTTTTATAAAGTGCTTTTCTGGGGCTCCTGGGTGGCTCAGTGGGTTGAGCCTCTGCCTTCGGCTCAGGTCATGATCTCAGGGTCTTGGGATCAAGTCCTTCATCCTGCTCTCTGCTCAGCAGGGAACCTGCTTCCTCCTCTCTCTCTGCCTGCCTCTCTGCCTACTTGTGATCTCTCTCTGTCAAGTAAATAAAATCTTTTAAAAAAATAAAGTACTTTTCTACTCTTAAAGCTCTCAGTAGGGTAGGTCTTCTCATTTATTTATCCCAGGCCCCCACAACTCTTTAAAATTCAACAGATTTCCCTTTTTTTGTGAAGCCTACAGGACTCCCAATGTAGAATGGCAGGTCAACACATATGTGTTGGATGCTGAAGTATATAGGTCTTATCAAATATGTAGTATAGATTTGTTCCTGAAATTGCTTTATTTTTGTTTTATTGGTGTAGGCTAGACAGAGCTTCAGTTATAATAACGAAAGGCTGTAGTTACATGAATAAAAGCCTCCAACACCAGAATCTCAGAGGCAGTTGCTATGAACAGCTCTTGGATCTAAGGACCAGGCAATTGTATAAACTTGTTTGGGGTGGAATAGGAGATGGTGGGTTTTAGACACATGGCTATCCTTGCATGGAATGAACCTCCCACTCCCCCCCCCCTTTTTTTTTTTTTTTTGCCTTTTTCAGCACAGTTTTCTCTGACCTGTCAGTACCATTACACCTTCTCAGAGCACCACTTACCTACCTCTCCTTAGCAGCATGTAGCTCAGCTCTAATTTTACAGTATTTGTATCATTCTTCGATTAACCTCTGCCACCCCCAAAAGACTAAACTTGAGGGTAGGGACAATCAGTTTCTGCTCACTACGGAATCCCCCAATGCCTAGCCTGGAACACAGTCAGTGATCAATAGATATTAGGAAAATGAATGATTGATAGCAGCTGTTAAAGTTTTACTCACACCCATTAATCCTCATGACAATCCTCCCATAAATATGGGGGGGAAAAGTGGTTTCGCTAGTCTGGAGGAGTCTCTGATCCCAGATTCTGTTCTAGTTTCAAATCACTGCCCTCTGTGCAAGAAATCATAAAACAGTAGCTTTGGGAACAAAATACATACTTTGGGCAGAGAGTAATAATCACCCATGATCACATTCTCTTAAAGACCACAGCCCTCTTCTCTTGCTCTGTGAACAAGGAGGGCTTCAGAATCCAGATGGGCCCATGGTCAGGACTCTTTCCTCAGACCTGCGCAGCCCTGGAGGCGCTCAGAGCACTTCCCTCCATCCACTTCCCCTCTAGGGTAGCTACCTGAGGCTCGCTCCCAAACCGGCTGTCTGATAAGAGGCGACACCTCGCGTCTGGCCTCAGGCAGGAGGTGTGGGGACAGAGCCAGTCCCACGCACCCTTGGCGGAGGGGAAAGCCGCAGAACCCGGGCGGGGAAAGACGGTACCGGCTTCGGGCTCAAGGGACCGGGGAGGTGGGGTGGGACCAATCGGGCTTTGTTAGCGCTTGGCCTTCGCCTGGCAACCTGGACGCTGGCTGCGCTGCCTGGCAACCGCGGGGGTGGGGCCCGGGCGCGCCGTCACAGAGCCGCCCCCCGCCCCGCCCCGCCCCACCCCGTCACGCCCCGCCCCGTCCCACCTTGTTCCCTCCCACCCTACCTCCTAGGGTTTCCAACAGAGACTGGGTTGCGGAATGTTCGAACCCACCAGGAACTGTCGGGGTTTTGCTCGGGGTGGGAGGACCGGATGGCCTGGCTGTTTAAGGTTAGGGCCGGGGGCGTTAGGAAACCCGGGGGATTTACAATGGGCTTTGGCAAAGTGGCAGTTTACAGTGGGCTTTGTATATTAGAGAGCGGAAGTGGAGGAGCTTAAAATGATCTTTTGGCTTGTGGAAAGTGGGTAGGTGAGGAGGAGGCAGGCGAATAATAGTAGCCAGCATTTGCAGTGCTTTTGTGTGTGTGCCCAAATGATTCCTAAGTGCATGACACGTATTAACTCTTAAAATCTCCCCGTGAGGCAAGTACTATTACGATCTCCGTATTTACAGGTGAGGAGAAGGCACAGAGAGGTCAAGTAAGTTGCCTAAGATCACAGGAAGTGGTAGAGTTAGGATGTGAACCACGTTGCGTAGTTCCAGATTCCCCTTTCTTTATCTCTATAATGCTAAAACAGGGGACAGAGTTAGTGTGGAATCCACAGAGCTCGAGATGCCTGAGGCCACAGGGAAAGAAGGAAGATATTCACCAAGGAGAATGACATTAAAGTCTCACACAGTAACTCTGGAGGTAGGTATTAACCTTCAGTTTAGAAATAAGAAGTAGCTTCTGGGCGCCTGGGCGTCTCAGTTCGTTAGGTGTTCTATTCTACTTCTCTGAGGTCTTGATCTCAGGGTCATGCCTTAAGTCCTGCTGCGTTGGGCTCCTCGCTGGGCATAGAGTCTACTTAAAAAAACAACAAAAAAAAAACAAGGTTAGAAATAAAAAATAGGTTCAAAACTTTGAGTAACTTGCCTGTGGTCAACAGCTGGCAGTAGGGACAAATTTGATTTCAGGTATTCTGATTTCAAGATTTTTTTTTAAGCTCCCAAGGAGGCAAGAAAAGCCCCGTCTTTTTCTGCTACAGCTGTTGTCACTTAACACTCATTTTTAAAGTGGCCCTTGCATCATCAGGTCTTTCAGTCCTTTTACACACTAGTGTGTGCTAGTCTAAATCATTGAGTTAGTTCATCCAGGGCCTTCAAAGCTTTCTCTAGTTGTGAGATGAAAGCCGTTGTCTCTCCTTAAAGCAATTTCAAGCATCAGTGAATAGGCATGGGGGCTGGGTGTTTGGTTTATGTATGCAGAAGGCTTTTCAGAACCTGTGGTCATCCATTTGTGAAGGGCTCAGTCTGTTGGCATTTGTCAAAGTTTTGCAGGTCCTCATTGTATACCTGGAGAGTCCTGGCTGATCTGGGGATGGCCACTTGCCCATAGCTGATTTGGGGATAAAAGGAACCTAACCACTGGCCATCACCTGCCTTCCTGAGCTTGTATGAACGGTCTACCAGGTGTTGGCATCTGCCTTAGGAATAGGGCGAGGCTGGAGGTTTGAGTGCTGCAGGGGCCTCTTCCAGGAGAAAAAGACCCCAGTGGGGTCCATTTTGTGTCATAGGAGGGAAGAAGTTGTGCTTGTCTCTTCCTGCTTTCATGTGGAGGACGTTATACAGAGAGGAATGAATAATAATGATCTTCATGTCAAAGAAGGAGTGTTTCTGGTAAAGCAGTGGCCCGCTGGAGATAGAAGATGAGAAATGGACTTTTAGTGTGGCAGGAATTTTGTGATACTGACCAAGGTGGTCTGATGTCTGCCGAAGGTAGGTTGAGGGACAAAGGTGAGGTCATCCTTGATCTATCAGTAATAAAAGGAACAGATTATGGTGAAGAGAATATGACTTTACAGGAAATGATAACCATAAAATTCAGGAAGTTGCTTTCTTTTGAGAGGCCTGGGGTGGGAGAGCAAGGAGCCCATAAATGGAAATGGTTGGTGGTGGTCGTTCTTGGTGAGATTGGTGGTTTTGTGGGTGTTCATTGTGCTTCAGAATTTATATGTTCTCTCTTATGTTTCAGCTATTACATAAAATCTATGTAAACTCATCAAATGGGTCACACTATTTCTATTTTCTTGTGTAATTGAGAATTGACTGTATACATTTTCATTATTTAATTTTCCCTTCATTCCCATCAATGTCCAGGTACGCTCTAATTTCTCCCATCATATTCCCCTGCAGCTTTGCCCCACTGCTCTACTCCCCTTTACTGCAAAGCTCGTTTAAAGAGTTGTCTGCACTTGCTGCCTCTAATTTCTCTTTCCAGTCTCTCTTGAATCTACCTGAATCAGGCTTTCAGTCTCATCACTCACTGAGACTATTCTTGTCAAGATCCCAAAATGACATGATGTTAAATCGAAGATTATCTCTTAGCCTCAACTCAACCGTCAGCAACACTTAACCCTGATGATCAGTCTCTAATCCTTGAAACCCTTTCTAGGACATCACACTCTCTTGGTTTTGCTCCTTTCTCACTGCCTCTTCCTTTTCATCTCTTTTGCTAGTTGCTGAGGACTCAATGTTTGTGCTCCCTCTCCCAAATGCATATGCTAAAGCCCTAAGCCCCAATGTGATGGTATTTGTCAGGAGGACTTTTGGGAGGTAATTAGGTTTAGATGAGGTCGTGGGAGTGGAGTTCCTATGATGGTCTTAGTGTCCTTTTAGGAAGAGAGACCAGAGCTTGCTCTCTCTGACATGTGAGGATACAGCAGGACAGTGGCTCTCTGCAAATCTTGATAAGGGCCCTTCCAGGAACCACGCTGCCAGCACTTTGATCTTGAACTTCCAGCCTCTAGAACTGTGGGAAATTAATGTCTATTGATTAAGCCCCCCAGTCTGTGGTATTTTGTTATAGAAGTCTGATCTCTGACCCTGATTCTTTCTTCTCTCTGTGATACCTTAACGTCAGAGAGTTGCAGGATTTACCCTTGGACTTCTTCTTTATCCACATGTACTCCTTTTTTTTTTTTTTTTTATCTCATCTGGTCTTATGTTTTAGATACTAAATTTATATCTCCAGCCCCAATTCTTCCCTATGCTCCACACTAGAATATCCCATTCTCTACTTGATAACATCACTGAGTGTCCAATAGACTTCTCACACTTAATATGTCCCAAACTATACCCTTTTTAAAAAAAGATTTTATTTATTTATTAGGGAAGGGGAGAGCACAGAGGGCAAAGCAGACTCCCCACCGAGCAGGGAGCCAGTTGCAGGGCTCAGTCCCAAGACCCAGAGATCATGACCTGAGCCAAAGGCAGATGTTTAACCAACTGAACCACCCAGGCACCCCTCCAAACTCTACTCCTGATATCCCTTTCCAAACCCTACACCCTTCCAGCTCCTCCTCTGCTTTATTATCACTCCATACTATATTTTTAAATTTTTGTTTTATTTTTTAAAGATTTATTTATTTGAGAGAAACGCAACACAAGTAGGGGATTGGGAGAGGGAAAAGCAGGCTTCCCTCTGAGCAGGGAGCCCAACACAAGTAGGGGATTGGGAGAGGGAAAAGCAGGCTTCCCTCTGAGCAGGGATGCTTAATGACTTTTGGGATCATGACCTGAGCCAAAGACAGATGCTTAATGACTGAGCCACCCAGGTACCCCCAATTTTTGTTTTATTCATTGGTCTATATTCTCTCACTGGAGTGCATGGGTTTTTGTTTTATTCACTGTATGTTGCTGGGGCCTAGGATAGCCTAGGATAGGGCTACACATGTAATGAACCCTATAAATATTTGTTTGCTGAATAAAATTCTTTTTTTCTTCCACCTTTCTTCCTTCTCCTTCCTGATTCTAAAAGGCCCTCCTGAGAAGTGATACATCAGTATCTGTTCAGATTTGCTAGCTCAGTATCTGAGGGTCTAAAGTTATATTTGGCCAAGGAAGGGACTGATCTGGCACCAGGGGTAGGACTCCTGACCTGCCTTAGGGCCATGGCCATCTCAGCTCAGATGGTAAGTTCTACCTATCCTGTGTGGCTTATCTTGCGGTGATTTTTCAGATCTTGAGTTGGCCATTTCCTAGGAGGAAATGAGTTATGGCCTGTAGGGTCATGGGGAAGCTGGGACCAGGGAACAGCAAGGGTCACACCGCCATCAGCCCTCCCAGACCCCCCCATACTTATGGAGCTCAGCTGTGTGGTGTTGTTTTCAGTCTCCTCATGGAGCCAGGCCACCCTGTGGACATAGTCTCTCTTCATTTATATATTAGTTTTCTCTTGCTACATAACAAATTACCACAAACATAGTAGCTAAAACAACACATATGTATGATCTCAGTGTCCGCAGGGCAGGACCCTCTGCTAAGGGTCTCACCAGGCTAAAATATAAGTGTTGGCTGGGACTATGAGCTTGCAGGAGGCTTAGTGTTCTTTTTCACGCTCACTGATTGTCGGCAGAATTCAGTTCCTTGTTGTTATAGGACTGAAGTCCCGTTTTCTTGTTTGTTGTTGGCCAGGAATCACTTTCAGCTCCTACAAGCCTCCCTCTGGTCCCAGCAATGCAGTTCTTTCATGAGAGCTCACAACATGGCTGTTTGCTTTCTTTCAGTTGGTTTTAAAGTCTCAGCGGATCAGGTCAGGCTGGCCCAGGACAATATCCTTTGTGAGAAATCCAAAGCCAACTAATTAGAGACCTTAATTACATTTGGAAATTCCCTTTTGCCACATAATCTTAATCCTGGGAGTGATAGCCCATCACATCCACAGGTCCCACCCATACTCAAAGGGGTGGGATTATATAAAGGGTGTACACTAGGGGCTAGAATTTTGAGGACCATCTTAGAATTCTGCTTACCACAAACTCTATCTTTGTGAGGGGGAATAAACACATGAAGGTCCACCATCTTTCTTCAGAGAGAAGGACTGACAGAGAAGTATGGCTACCCTTTGTTGGTCTGGATCCTCAGGTCTTACTGCTGCCTCTGTGTGTAACCTTTCCCTCAGGACTCTAGGGGAACAACACTTCCTCACTTAGGAAGAACAAACTGTTTGGTCCATGTCAGTGAAAATTTCCACCTAATCAAAGTCGACTTCTTTCAGGATTTGAGTGATTTAAGAAGATAGAGGACTGTTAACTCTGTGGGAGCAGGGGGTGGAAAAAGCTCCGCTCTTGTCTTGACATTTGTGGCTTCTGTGGCACTGTTGATTCTCCTCAGGACTGCTCCCACATTAGAGAAAGGAGATCTCTTGTAGTAGACATAGCCCTGGGGTGGATGGGCTGGTGAGAGGGACAGTCACTGGGCTGAACTGCTTTCCCCCACAGAAAACTGCCTGGTTTTCCTGCCTCTGGTGCCTGCTATTTCCATCTCACATTATTCTAAATATGCACATCACCATGTCCCCCGCCAAAAAAAAAAAAAAAAAGAAAAAAGAAAACTTCAGTGGTTGGCTTCTCCACCTTCCTCCCAGAGAACTTCTATCCATAGGAGGAGAGAAGCCTGTCTCTCTGTAGATGACTCAAATTCGCACCTCCAGTCCCAGCCTCCCTTCTCAACTTAGTCCCTTGTCTAAACGCCCCAGGCTTCCTTCAAACAAGTTCACAGAAGACATCATCCTTCCCCAAGGCCAGCCTCACACATTCCTAGCTCTGCCAGTAGAGACATCATCCTCCTTGTTATCCAGTCTACAAACCGAAGTCACCTTCTGGCACCCCCTCTGCCCTCCTCATGCAGCCTGTCTGCTTCCCCTACACGGGGTCTGTGGCATTGGTCCTTTCCTTGTCAATATCACTGAGCGACACTGGTTCCAAGCCCTTGGTGTCTCCTGTCTTCACTGTTTCAATAGTTTTCTACCTTCTTAACTCTCTTTCCTTTCCTCTCCCAGTGATTCTCAGTTAGGGGCAATTTTGTGCCCCCCAGGAGACATTGGTCAGTGTCTGAAGATACCTTCGGTTACCACACCTGGGAGTGGATGCCAGCATCTGGGGGTAGAGGCCAGGGATATTGCTAAAGATCCTACAGTGCTCAGAGCAGTCCCCAAACAAAGCCTCATCCAGCCCCAAATGTCAATAGTGCTGAGACAGAGAAACCCTGCTTCGTGTCCATTCCTCCATGTTTCCTGAATGTTATAGCCTAACTCTTCTTAAGAAAATGCACTTTATATACATTACTTCCTGCTAGAAAAAAATTTAAAAATTCCCATTTCCCATATATATGCCGGGCTTCCTCTACCTCAGATGCCCTTCCCTTTCATCTCTATGCCAAGAAATCTCCCCTTTCTCTTAAAACTTGTAGCATGGTGTCCAGCTTGTAAACTGGGTTGGTCCCTCTGGGTCCACTCTCTGCTCTTCTCTCTCCTTATCTGTGCCCCAGGACTGTGTCTCCTGGCTCCCTTGACCTCTAGTTCCTGGCTGGGATTGGCCTGTGGGAGGTATCTGCAGGTGACTGCAGGTTGGGTCTTTGCTTCCCAAACTCAACCTGAGCTTCCTGTCTGTCTACAGCTTCAGCTCACCTAGAGCATCCCCTCTTCTATTGCCCCCACCCTTGTGGGGCTCCAGTGACACCATCCTTGCCTTATGCCTTCAGGCCAATGGTGGCAATGACTTCCCACTGTTGCCAGTCCCTGCATTCACCACTGTGCTGAGTTGGCTTATGTTCTGCCCACACCTCAGTCAGTATTTCCTTAGTTAAACTCTCTCTAGTTAAATCCTTTGAGTGTGCCATCTGCTTCCTGCTGGATCCTCAGTGCCTCGGCAGTCACTTGAGAATTCGCCTTTCCCTTGGTGCCCACACACAACTTACAGCTGGGACTGCTCCCATGTCACTCAGGGTGTACTCCTGATACTGCTGTGATCCATTTACATCTAGAATCTCCTGTGTTTCCCAAACACATCGTAAACTCCTGTGGGTGGAGGCTATTTTAATATGTCATGTACAGTCTCTTGGCGTAGAGCCGTCTCAATGAATATTTGCCAAGGAAAATCATGGTAAAATGTGTCGAAAAATCACCTGATTTCATAAACAAAGTGTTCTGAATTTAAATTACTTAATTTCATACCATAGGTGTTTGGAGTGATTTGAATCAACTTTTACACCACATTTTAAATCCAGTGGAGGCATGGGCTTTGAGACGTGAGACTGGCTGCTCGGTGGCTTTGTGTCCTCACTTCCTGGTTCTGGTGGCTTTCTGTGTATTCATGGCTCCTGAATGAGGGACTCGGAGTGAAACTGGGGGTTTCTGCACTGGCTTTCTTCCTTGAAAGCAAGATGCTCTCCCTTCTGAACTCTTTCCCTTCAGAACTCAGTTATTCTATTGCTGGTCTGCAGGGATCAAATGTTCTACTTGCTGCTGGAGTCTAAGACTTGGTGCTGTGTTGTGCCCAAATGTGTGCTTCGTAAACGCCATTTTGTCCCACAATTCACTTCGAGTTTTTATTTAAATATTTAATGATGCAAAAATTGGTGTAAGTGCCTCCCTAGGGAATCTTGGGAAAGTACAGGGATGTAATCAAATGGTTTTGCAAATTGTACTTATTTATTTATAACTCTAATTTGAAAAGAAGGACCGGAGTTATTAAAGAGGATATTTGCATTTCACAGACACCTCATCCTAAGGAATGAGGGGTAATCATTCTTAAGAAGAGGGGGAAATGCCAAGTCATTTCTTAGAGTTATTGCTTCTTATCCTTCCTGTGTTGTAATGGTTGTTTGTGTGGGCAATTAAAAAAGCTATTTCTTCTGCTGTCTGCTAAATATGTCTTCATCTGCCTAATTCTGCTGTGGGGTCTCAGTCTGACCTAAGCGTTAGTTATTTTCATGCCAAAAATCCACACCCAAGTTCTGGGTGGTTTGTTGTTGTTGTTGTTTGTTTTGTTTTTTCATTTTTTGTACTAGAAAGATGAAGAAGATGACTAGAGAGGAGTGGTAAGCGTTCTGGTCCACAATCCACCTTGACTTCATGGAAGGGCTTAGAAAATATGAGGCTGATATGGATTGATCAGGGTCACGTTATGGTTTTCATGGGCCTTAAGCACTATTGCCTTCATGACAGAAAAATATGAAAGCTTATATTTTATGACTGTGTTGACAGAATGACAACTATATTATCCATTAGAACATTTCTGTGGACCTCTAAAAGTATTGTGGTCCCTAGGCACCATGTCTCTTATGCCTAATGAATGTTAGCCCTGTAAATAGACAGTGGGAAAAGAGGGTGGCTTGACTCCCTTTTTTCAAGATCTAAAGATACCTGGATTCCAGTCTGTTCTCAACAGTGCCTACATTGGGAGATTTTGACCACAAATAAGGTGAATGAATGATCTTCCTTTTTTTTTTTTTTTAAAGATTTTATTTATTTATTTGACAGACAGAGATCACAAATAGGCAGAGAGGCAGGCAGAGAAAGAGAGGGAAGCAGGCTATCCGCCGAGCAGAGAGCCCGATGCGGGGCTTGATCCCAGGACCCTGGGACCATGACCTGAGCCGAAGGCAGAGGCTTTAACCCACTGAGCCACCCAGGCGCCCCAAATGATCTTCTTTTGACAGACCTGGGGTCTTTGGAGGGATGGGGAGCAGTAGATCATGAAGCTCAGCCACCTCCCAGAAATGGGCTGCTTCCCTCTCCAACTTATCCAAGGGTGACGTCACCTTCTGTACAGGTTACAGGTGGTGTTATAGTCTCTACTACGGGAGGGTCCAGGGTGACTATTCCATTTTACAGATGGGGAGCCTAAGGCATGATAAGATGAGACTGTGTGGCTTCTTCACTAAGCTGATTCAGATTCTGATGCCTTGCTGCTTTCTTGGCAGCGGAAGGAGGAAACACTTAAAATAATTTTTTCTGACTATAAAAGTCATACTTGTTTTTTATGAAATTTGGAAAATAAAAGAAATTGAAAGAAGATTAAAAAAAAAAAGCTAAACTTTTTTAATCCTACCTCCTAGAACCAACCACTGCCCACTGCTCCCTGAAGTTGTGCAAATGGGTGAACCAATGCCTAGTGGGACAGAACCACTCAAGTTCCCAGGAGCCAACCCAGCAGTACTGGTCATTGCTGCTAATTCTGCCTGATGTCACCCTCTACTGCAAAATGACAAGATTTCACTGCACCCCTCACCCCCCCAGGCTTACAAATTACAATGTTAACTAAAAGAGGTAGATTATAAAATTTACATACAATATGACCTCAGTGATAGAGAACCATGCATAAAAAATTGAGGAAGTCAATAGATCATTTTGTCAGCAGTGGTGCTACCCCACAGAAGCTCTTTTATCCATGAGGGACAGCTTTCTGGGGGGGGGGATGGTGGGTTTTCAGCACCACACAAACCCTCCCTCACAGGCAATTTCCCATGCACGGGAAATTTCCCGTGCAGTTTCCAGGCAGCTTCCTATGAATAATAACACAGCCCTAGGAGAGTTCACTGGGGTGGCAACGCCTCCATGCATCAACCCCAGACCTTTGGAGAGAGCTGTCCTCCCTCATCTCCTTTTCCCTGTGCCCACCCATGAAGCAGCATTTTCAGCAGGCTCCTATTTGTATTCCACGGCTAGCAATGGGTTTTCCTAGCTAATTTCCTAGGAAAATGATTCTACTCTCTACATAAAAGCAAGGATACAATTAAAGCTACGCATCCGAGAGCAATCAAGGGAACTAACAACTCCATGTTACTATGAAGAGGATGCCACTGAATGAGGACAGTTTCTGCGGCAGCAAATGCAGGAGAGAAGCTCCTGATGCCTCTGTGGACCCTCAGAGGCAAAGCCTTCCCAGCAGGCAGGAATCCGGCTCCTCCCGGAGAGATGGGGCAGACAAAATATATGGTCTTTTGCAGCGGCCTGGTCTGATATCTTATAAGGTTTCCCTTAGTTCTCACCTAAACCCTGCCTGTTCTGCTCTCATTCCAGATCTGTTTGCCTTGTGAAGACAGAATGTTGGCCTGGGTGTCCTCATCTGATAACCTTCTAAAGCTGGAGGGTGGATTTCCTCTGAAGTGTCTCCATCAAGCTCAGAATTTTAGAATACCATGTTAAGAAACTAAGATGGGGGCGCCTGGGTGGCTCAGTGGGTTAAAGCCTCTGCCTTCAGCTCGGGTCATGATCCCAGGGTCCTGGGATCGAGCCCCACATCAGGTTCTCTGCTCAGTGGGGAGCCTGCTTCCCTCTCTCTCTCCCTCTGCCTGCCCCTCTGCCTACTTGTGATCTCTGTCAAATAAATAAATAAAATCTTAAAAAAAAAAAAAAGAAATTAAGTTGAAATGGCATATCCGACCATTTCATTCAAATTTTTTGCTTGAGCACCTACCATGTGTCAAGTCAGGAAGAACTAGGCAGGGAGACACAGGCTGAACCAGAGATGCCATGTTGAGAGCATTCTCTTTAGGTTTTTAAAGTGAGATTTGAAGGCAGATAGACTTGGGTTGAATCCACTTACTCTTTTAGGGCAAGAGTGCTCCCCTACCTGAGCCTCAGTTTTGTTACCTACACATGGGGATGAAAATCCTGTTTCAGAGGTTGTACAATAAGTGAAATAATTTGAACAAAGCACAATTCCTAATAGTGGAAGACATCCTATCAATGCTGCTCCTTCCTTCAGGTTTTGTAATGATTTGGTAATGGGGACACCAGAGATATTGGGTGCAATAAGAAACTGGGTTTTGTTTTATAAATGTGAATTTTTATATGTATTGCTGACTTTCTGGATCAGCTATAATTCTTTTTTTTTTTTTTAAGATTTTATTTGTTTATTTGACAGACAGAGATCACAAGTAGACAGAGAGGCAGGCAGAGAGAGAGATTGGGAAGCAGGCTCCCTGCTGAGCAGAGAGCCCGATGCGGGACTCGATCCCAGGACCCTGAGATCATGACCTGAGCCGAAGGCAGCGGCTTAACCCACTGAGCCACCCAGGCGCCCCTAGGATCAGCTATAATTCTTTATTGGCATTCCATAAACCCAATTATGACCTGTTCTTAATATGCCAACATTCATTCACCCAATGAATATTTTTAAGTATCTTTGATGGTATAGTCAATGTATGTTAGGGGAACAACACCTACCTTTATTATAAGCTTGGTCTAGACATAATCAGGAAGGGAAATCTGCCAGGAAGAAAATCCTGTATGGAAGGAATTTCCAGGACAGCGGAAGATGGGCTCAGAGAAGCGCAGCTGCCATCAGAGACATTTCTCAAGTGCTGGCAAAAAAACTCCTAACCAATGCCTGACGGCAGAAGAATCCTGGGAGCCTGGACTTGTCTCTTATTCTTGAATTGCATTTATTCTGGGAACCAAGCAGAATGCTGTGTCAATCCGCTAAGAGGGAGGCAGAGTTATAAATAGGATATGTGCTGGAAATAGGAAATAAGATGAAAGATGGCATTTGGGGCTTTCACGGCTTGTCCCCCCACCTTAAGCAGAGGGAGAAAAGCCATCCAGTTTGGGTGGGGACCAGAAAGTCAGGAGCCGTCATTCCGAGAGAAGTGGAAGGGAGAGAGGAAGTGGGAAGTATGACGGTGGTGGAAAGTGGAGCTGTGGGAAGAACTGAGTGAGCTGCCAACGGAGGGGTAGGAAGGTAAGCCATCCCCCCAGGCAGAGGACATGACATCCAAAGAGAAAAACCCAGTGCCAGGACAAAGACTGAAGATTTTACCCAGCCGGACAGAAACCTGAAATAGCAAGATAGTAATCATGCATGGGAGAGAGATTAGGTAGGGGAAGAACTAAAAAGCTTAAGCCATAAAAAATGGCATTAGGTGGCAAGGTAAATAGGACTGTGGCCAAGAAGACCAGGCATGATCAGTAGCATTCCCAGGTAGCTCCACTGACCCCCTTCCCCAACACCCAGGCTGGATATCTTCAAAGGCATCAGTGAATCCATAATCGGGGAGGGGAAAGGGTGTTCTAGCTGTGGTTGAGGGAGGCTGTCATGGAAAAAAGTCTTGAAATTGGAGGCAATTCTAGTTCCAACGTTGCCATCAACTAGGCATATGACCTCAGACTTAGCTGACCTCTGTGAGCTGGGTTTGAATATAGACTCTGCTATGAACTGACCATTTGAGCTTGAATGATTTTCTTCCCTTATCTAGACTTCTTTGTCTTTTTCCTTACAGCAGTATATGTAGACTGGGTCTTAAAAGCTGCTGCCAGGTATAAAATTTGACACCTTAATCCTTGGATAATTCTTGGGCTCGGAGAGAAGAGTAATGCCTAATTCGATCTGCTCTACAATGGGGAAGAGCTCTGCTAGAGAACATCCGGCTTAGATGCTAGTTGAATGGATTGCCTTAAGCCCCTTTCTAGGCAGAGTATGCTCCCTTTCAGTATTGCAGAGTCATGCCTTTACCAGCTTTCTGTTGCACAACTGCCAAGTTTGGATCTGTGCTATTTGCATCAGGGAGGTCCAGCCACATTAGGCCATGCAGGAGAGTTTTTAGCAACTACCCACCCAAGGTAAGGTAGGAAGGAGGCCCATAGGTAACATGAAATGGAGGGTCCTCAAAGAGGCATTGAGACATTGAGAAAGCGCTACAAAAGCACTCTGCCAAGAAGATGAGAGATACCTAGTTATCTTGCAAATAGAAGGTAGGGAACTGTAGGTGTGGTTCTGCTTCATTTTCCCAAGTGATCTCTTTCTGAGACTGAAACAAGGGTGTTGGGAAGTCATAGGTCAGAATATACCCAAGTACATTCATATTCAGAAGTATACTATCAGGGAGTTTTGCCCAAACTCATTAATCAAGAAGAGCCATGTGGTATACATGGAAACTTGCCTCCTTTTACCTTACAAATTACATTATCAATTGACTTCAGGCCGTGATGTGTCCTCCCATTGGTCCATGTGCTTAACTAAAGTTTCATCAGCCCTGTAAAGACTCTTTAATTTACCTACAGAGATTCTGTTGCTTCTACTCTGCCCTCCTGCCCATGTCATCCCTTCACTCCCCAAAGGAGCAAGTCTATAAAACTGAATCCCCGTTAGAGAGATCAAGTTGAATCTTATCAGCCTTTGTTACCTTGTCTGGTAGGCGAGTCCTGAAAGATTCGAACCTTACAAATTTTCAAGAATAGGTATGAATTTGGGTCCTGGGTCACTTAGCCACTGCCTGGGGGTGGGGAGTATAAGCCTTGGATGTTGTCCTAGGAGTCCTGGAGATTCATTATTATATTAAGGATTGTAAAATATAACCCCCACTCCTCCCCATATTGGGATGAATGTGAGTCTTGGTCAGAAACCATCCTTGTGGGAAACTATGACCAGAAGACAGAGTGTCTCCTCTGCTATGGGTGTTTAGTCATAGTGACAAAGTGTGGTGCTGTGGTTGACTTATTGACTACCATTTCCTCTTTGGAGGTAAGCCTTCCTCAGGATGAATTGGTGGCAGGATCAGACTGAAGATTGCTTAGGATTAGAGCTATACTTGAGTTAAGGGCTTGTTCCTCCACCTGCTTTCCTGGATAGACAGTGGCAGTAGTGCCTGGGAGCTTGTCTGAAAAGCAGAGGCTCAGACCCCATGCCAGGCCTCCTGGATCAAAATTGCATGTGATGAAATTCCCGTGTGACTTGTATGCCCATGGAAGTTTAAGAAGCCTTGGGTTAGGGTGCTCCTTTACAAAGAATGTAAATGTCTCCTCTAGAGGGTTTCTATAGGCCAGTCATTTAATGTAGTGAGGACAGCTTAATCGGATTACTTCTCATTTATTCCTTAACTAAAATAAGCCAGGATGGGAATTTTGTTGGAAAGAGAAGGAAAAATGACCAAACTCCCAATCTCTGACCCAAACTGTAATCTTAGCTCTCACCACAGAGATCTGGCACATAGTAGGACTCAAGAGATTTTTTCGTTATTTGGCTAAATAACTGATTCGCAGTAAGAAAGAGTTTGTGGTTTTGTGGTTTAGCTCTTTGCCATATGTAAAAGGTGTGGTAGGCAGAATAATGGATCTCAAAATGTCCATGTCCTAATCCCTGGAACCTATGAATCTATTACCTTATGTGGCAAAGGGGAATTAATCAGCTGATTGTCAGGAAGATGATCTTGGATTACCCAGGTAAGCCCGATGTAATTATAGTGGTTCTGAAAAGTGGAAGAGGGAGGCAGAAGAAGAGGTCAGAGTCAGGGAAAGAATGTAAGAAGAACTAGACCTGCCTTTGCTTGCTTTGAAGCCAGAGGAAGGGAGCCCAGAGTCGAGGAATGCGGGGCATCTGCAGAAGCAGAAGGCAAGGAAGCAGATTCTCCCCTGGAGCCTCCAGAAAGCCCTGCCCACACTTTGCTTTTCTTTTCCAGTGACACCTGTGTTAGGCTTCCTACCAACACTGAACTGACACTGAAGTTATCCTGTTTTAAGCCCCTAAATTTGTGGTACTTTGTTGCAACATCAATAGGAAACTAATATACTACACTGGTAGTATAGTTTATTTTGAATATGGAAACAAACACAGAAACAGCATGTGTGTATACGTGTGTGTGTGTGTACATGTGTATGTGTGTACTGATCATCCGTCTATAACTGTTTTCTTCTTATATCCTTTGGAATTCAGGTGCATATGCTTGTATTAATCCCATTCTCAGTTCACAGAATATAATCATCTGTCCATGTATCCATGGAAGGACTCTCTTTTTATAAGAAAAATATGTTTGCTTTCTTGTTTTTTCCCTTCATCCACCATTCCCAATCTCATTGCCCTCCTCCCCTAGGCATCCATTCAAATTTATTTAATATAGTCTTTCCAATCCATCTGACATGTTTATTTAGCTATATGAGCACCCTTACAAAAATACACAAGACTGTTTTATGTGGGTGTGTAATATATAAATGGAATCATGCTATGAATTTAATTCTGTTTTACTTTTTCCTCTCAACTCTGTTCTTGAGATCAATCCAGATTGCTATGCGGAAATCTAGTTCATTATCCTGGTGTATTCAGATACTACGTTTTACTTGTACATTCCTTAGAGATGGACACCTAGGTTACCCCCGACGGTGTGGCAGTGAACTTCCTTCAGTACATCTCTTTGTGTTCCTAGGAGAACTTCCCCAGGTGTATACCCAAGGGTCAGCTTGCTGGATTTTAAGGTCTTTGATTG